CAACCGCAGCAGGGGATGAAACACTGAGATTCTGGAACGTTTTTGGCGTTCCAGAAGTGGCTAAAGCTGCTCCGAAAGCAAATCCTGAGCCATTTTCTCGCTTCAATCGCATCCGCTGATGCCAAAAATGAAAACAACAAAACTAGTTGCAAATGTTTGGCCCAACAACAGCCAAGGTAGATTTTCTCTCTAATTTGTTCATGAAATGTCCCTATTTCCTGAGTTGGTTCTGCTGGTGGTCAATGGGGGAAACAAACTGATGTCTTTCTATCATCATGTACTTTCTTATGGTGAAATTATCAAAAAAGCAATCTGCAGTGTGTGTGACGGATGCTTGCTGTTATCTTATGCTTTCAAATTGGATTTTGGGGAGCGGATAAAAAATATTCAGGTGAGAAATTTACCTCTGATTTCTTTCTTGCTCGCTTTTTTTCTCTCGCCAATGAACGAAACTATGCTGTACATATCTTGTTCGGTCATGAAATTTATGATGTGGGTTAGGTGGTGGGTGAAACTTGATTGAGCTACATATCTTTGAGCAAGCTTGGCATCACGAATGAAACAGTGCTTGCGGATTGAGGGTGGTCGGCACACAGCATAAGTTGTTGGGTAACGTTCCTCCAGATTTGTTCAGATTTCGAGTTCTTGAGTTTCTGCGGTTACTTTTTTTTTGTTATTGAGGGAGTTGCATTAGAACAAAAGGAGATGATTACTTCATGATTATCCATGAATTTATTATGGTAAGTGGAGCAGTTTAGGATCGAGCTTTCTTGTTCCAACCCGTGCCTAGAGGTATGTTTGTCCCTGTAGACGTCAGTTAGGTCAACGTTGCTTATTGAAAGTTATGCCAAACAAGTCAGTTAGATGTTTAGAGCATGCTTATTCTGCATTTTAATTCATAAAATTAGATTAATTCAATTTACCATAAATAAAAACAAAACTGAAAAGAATTGAGATATATATATATATATATATATATATATATGAAGATAGGTATGTTTGTCCCTGTATACACCAGTTATGCCAAACAAGTCTTAGATGTTTAGAGCATGCTTATTCTGCATTCCAAGTCATAAAATTAAATTAATTAAATTTATCATAAATAAAAACAAAACTGGAAAGATTGAGATACAAATATATATATATATATATGAAGATATTTTTTTAAAAAAAATTATGAAGGTATTTAATTAAATAAATTAAAAACTAATTTGTATCAATAAAAGCAAAAAAAATATCATTAACAATAACTAAATACTTAACTATAAGAATCAAGATATAGAATAGATTAAAATATTTAATCTCATAAAACATATAATTATATTTAATTATTTTATTTCTTAAAATTAATTTTTTATTTAATCAAATGATAATATAAAATAAATACATATATGAAAGCAATTGAATAAAATAAAATAAAAAATTCATGCAAGTTTGCACCTATATGTAATTTTGTTTTTTATTAAATATTATTTAGTTTTTACATAAAATAATATTATTATTTTTGTGATATGTGCAAACTTGCATAAATTTTTTATTTTATTTTATTTTTGTGAGTGATCAATGAGATCTATTTGAAAATCTAAATAAATCTATAAAAGACCAAGTAATTTTTAGGAATATCTCTAAAGTTCTAATGAAAGAAAAAGGCAACATTTCAATCCATTTAAATAATGACAATTATAACTACATTACAGGTATTTATTATATTCCAGCTATTAAGTATATAATTAATTTGTATTTAATAAATTTATTTCTTGAAAAAACCATGTTGAGGAAAGAAATTGAATAAAATTATAGAAACAAAATTAAGTAAGCTACATAAAAAATGCTTTCTAATATAATTTTAATATTAGAAAATAAATATTAAAATTTCATTTGTAAGCCAAGTAAAAATAAAATTATATTCTATTTTATTAAAACATCAAAGAAATTTTATAAAAAATTGTTAAAATTAAAAAAATAGCCAATAAAGAATCTAATAAAAATTTAATATCAAAGAATAAAACAAAAAAATAAAATAAAATAAAAAAATAATAAACAGAAAAAACTCACATATGCATAGACTCGGGTGGTGTTGCATGTGTCAGGCCACGGAAAAATAATATTTTTTAATATTAAAAAAATATTGAAATTTCATTTATAAGCCAAGTAAAAATCAAATAATATTTTATTTTATTAAAAAAATTATTAAAATTGAAAAATAAAAATAAAAAAATAATATTAAATAAAAAAAATAAAAAAAAATAAAAAAATAATAAACAAAAAAGACTCACATATGCAGAGGCCTAGCCCCGGGTGGTGTTGCATGCCAGGCCTAGAGAAAGAAATTAAGGCTACATAAAAACAATATTTTCTAATATTAGAAAAAAAATATTGAAATTTCATTTGTAAGCTAAGTAAAAATCAAATAAATCTGTAAAAATTATTAAAATTGAAAAATAAAATCAACAAAATAATATTAAATCAAAAAATAAAAAAATAATAAAAAAATAATAAACAAAAAAGACTCACATATGCAGAGGCCTAGAGAAAGAAATTAAATAAAACTAAAGGAAAAAAATTAAGTAAGGCTACATAAAAACAATATTTTCTAATATTAGAAAAAAATTATTGAAATGTCATTTGTAAGCTAAGTAAAAATAAAAGAAATTTTTTAAAAACTAATAAAAAAATTAATATTAAAAAATAAAATAAATAAAAAAGACTCACATATGGAGAGGCCTAGCCCCGGGTGGTGTTGCATGCCAGGCCTAGAGAAAGAAAAAAAATTAAGTAAGGCTACATAGAAACAATATTTTCTAATATTAGAAAAAAATATTGAAATTTCATTTGTAAGCTAAGTAAAAATCAAATAATATTTTATTTTATTAAACAAATCAAATAAACCTGTAAAAATTATTAAAATTGAAAAATAAAATTAAAAAATTAATATTAAAAAATAAAATCAACAAAATAATATTAAATAATAAAAATAAAATAAAAAACAAAAAAAACAAAAAAAACTCACAAATGCAGAGGCCTAGCCCGGGTGGTGTTGCATGCCAGGCCTAGAGAAAGAAATTAAATAAAACTAAAGAAAAAAAATTAAGGCTACATAAAAACAATATTTTCTAATATTAGAAAAAAATTATTGAAATGTCATTTGTAAGCTAAGTAAAAATAAAAGAATTTTTTTAAAAACTAATAAAAAAATTAATATTAAAAGATTAAAAAAAAACTCATGAATGCAGGACTAGTTTGAGTAGTGCGGTTACTTTTTAAAATGTTTTCATCTGAAATATATTAAAATAATAATTTAAAAAAATTATTTTTTAAATAATAATTTTAAATATATAAAAAATTGTTTGCCAGTGTTTGCAAACATTCTCTAGTTTAGGCTCGCACTTACACATTTGGGTGATTTTTTGTTCTTTTTAAAAATAGGCAAAAATTTAGGTCATGAGTTTTTCGTCACGCTGTCTCGCCCACTAATTCAGAGGGTCTTTAAAAATTCAGAACATGAGTGTTTTTTTTTTAAAAAAAAAGAAAAAGAAAAAAGAAAAAGCATTTTGCTTCTTCAATCAACTAAAACCTTCTCTCTCTCATGGGCTGATTGTTTTTCGCTTCTGTGTGTTGGCTCCAGTTTCTTTGTTTTTTTCTTTATTGGATCAAGCAGTATATATATTGTTAATTAAACACCATCATTATGCATTCATTCTTATAAATTAAGTTTCAATTATAAAGTAAACTTAAAAAGTTAGACTGATTTTTACAAGAATTGCAATGAAATATTTTGATGGTAATTATCATGTATATTAAAAGGATTTTTTTAAAATCATTATTATTAAAAAAATCAAGAAAATGGTAAGAAAAACCGGTTGGATGGTGATCTTAACTTTACATCGGCATCCATCCTACTTTTATCCAATTAAATTGGATAAAAACTAGATTCAACCAAATCGAGTTGTTGAATATTTGATTTATCAAATAAAACTGTCATCCCTCTAAATCAATGTTACTTCTATCATGATTTTATGCCCCAATCCTACATCATCGATTCTGTTTGATTGCTATTCTATAAATCTTACACAAAGCAACATATAACCAATAAGAAGGTTATGTTTTATATGATATAGCTAGACCCAACCACGTCTAGATCTAGAAATATATTAGACTCAAATATATTAGATTTGGTACATACTTAGTCTTAACCTTGCTAGGTTTAGCACTAACCAGACTCAACCATGACTGGACCTTGTAATGCGCTAAACCATGGAGCTTTGAGATGATTAGGTTTTCGGCATTACTAGATCCGGTCGTTGCTGCCAAGTCTAATAACTTGGTTTAATGAGCGACTTACGAGGATGTTGATTCTAAGAGGTTTTTAGTCATTACATCCCGGGCATGATTGGATTCGTTATACCTACTAATTTAAACATAATTCAAACATGATACATGAATTTAATATCATTAATTCTATAGGTATTTACATAAGATCCTAGATGAATTATTTCTCAATAAATAGATTTAATTAAACAAGTCTCCACCAATACCATTAAATGTAATAAAGTCTCTCATAACTTGAAATATCTTTATATTTTAACTAAATAAAATAAGTGGGATATAAATCACAATAAATCACAATACAACTTAAAATATCATAAATAAAAAATTATACTTCAGCCTTTCATCTCCACAAAAAAAAATTCATGAGTTATAATGAACCATAATCTTTTAAAAGAAAATTCATAATTTTTATTCTCAACTACATATTGAAAGTATATATCTATAAACTTTTTTGAAAATATTTGAGAATCCTTACATCTACCAAAACTTTTTTTTTTTGTAAATATTAGTCAAAAGTCATTGATTTACCAAGTATTAACTATAAACTATGCAATATGTTAATTCTAGAGAATGGATAAAATTATCATTATCAATTACCATTTGATTAACTAATTATTTAATATGAAAATTTATAACTGAACTGCTTAGATTTCTAGTATCTCATCAAACATCATGAATGGCTGCCGCCACCAGTATTAGTTCTTCATAGATAAAGGCTACATAACCAAAGCAAAGACATACATTGAATATACTTTCAAAATCGAAAGTATTACAAAGGCTAGTTCTTGCCTAACTTCTCCCTAGCAACTCTCATATAGGCCAACATCTTGTCATGGTCAGGAATGTTCTCGTTAATCACAGGAACTTCAATGAAGTTCTTAGGTTCTCGTTAATCACAGGAACTTCAATGAACTTCTCCCAAGCATGTAGTTTAGGTAACGAGCTTGGTTCCAGCACTTTTACACCCGCTGCTTCTTCCATGGCCGGCAACCAATAAGCACATGGTCCATATGAGATGTCTACAAGATTTATATTGTCACCCCCAAAAAACTTCTTGTCTCCGAGGGCTTGATCTTCTAGGATTTTCAGCACTTCCACTATTTCTTTTGCTGCCTTCTCCTTTTCTTCTTCGCTTGCTACGTATAACGCTCCAATAGCCTCGGCACACTGGATTGCAAGGGGCAAAAAAAGGTCATGGAGGCATTTCGTAAACAAAAATAAATGATTAAGTGCAAATTTCTAATTCATGTGGATATTTTGAAGAGAAAATAGGGTAGAAAATATCAATTTAAATATTTTTTAAAAAAGTTTTTACAAGACGATTTAATCTGATAATTAAGAAGATATACTATTTTTTATATCTTTTTCGTTAAAACTTTAAATTCATTAAAAAAATCATTAGATATTTCTATATATATACCATGTAAATGTGGAGAATAAGCTTCGAAGATCATTTTAAAAAAATGTGGAGAATAAGCTTCGAAGATCATTTTTTTTTTTAAAAAATAAGGATAGGACTGCCCCCAAAATATTGTTAGGCCTTGTGAACATGAACACTGTAGCAGTGTGTGTGTGTATCTGTGCTACATAGGGTAATTGAGGCCAAGGGTTCACGGGAATTGTTACCTTAATTGCTCCGTATTGGATCCAAAATCGAGCCATGGCTCTGTCGTAAGGATCTCTTGGCAGCAAGGGATTCTCCGGCCATGTTTCTTCAATGTATTCTAGAATGACAAGAGACTCAGCAATTGGCTTGCCATCATGAACAAGGACTGGGATCTTTTTATAAATTGGATTGTATTTCAATAGCAATTCACTCTTGTTATGAAGGTCTTCTTCTATGTATTCATACTCTACACCTTTTAGTTTCAGAGCCCAGATAACTCTGCAGCTAAAAGGGCTGGACCAGAAACCATGTAGCTTCACTTCTGCCATTGTTGTGGTGAGTTGAAGAACTCAAGATTGCAGGGTATGAGTCGTTTTATAGTGATCAATGGCTTGGGCAATAAGATTGGGTTTGGAAATTTGGATACAAGGAGCATTTTTATTTTCTTTTTTCTAAGCATTGACTTGACGAAGCCAACAACTTTGGATTTTTATTTATTAAAATACAATCAGGATATTGCTATGGTCAAGATCCAAGATAAACTGCCGTGCCAAGTCGTTTTATAAACTATGACGAATCTAGCATTGGGCAAAGGGAAGGCCCAAATGGCCGGCATTGAAGGGGGCTTTTTTTCTATGATACAGATGCGACAGCTATAGCTATTGAATTTGAATATGCTAACGAATACAGTGACTTCAACGGCTGTATTTCTTATTTTCTTATAACAAAACTGTGGATTTTGCATAACCCAAATCTCATTAAATTAGAATAAAAATATCAGAGAAACTTTCTGCATCAGTTCTTACAGGCCCAAGGATGATCAAATTGGTAACAGTAGATCTCTTCTATTTATTTTTTTTCCCGCAACTAAACAACTACCCTTATAGACCAATGGGTTTTATCTGGATTTTGCAAAACTCCAGGTATTATCAAATAAAAAATCCAACTGAGGAAAATCCAAGGTGCTCTCAAAGCACAAGAAGAACCACTGAAAAATTCCATAGCAAATAGTTCAGCTGAAGAGAAAAAATAACTAAGCTTTTGCTTTTATGGACTTGTACTGCTTCATCTCCTTAATAACACCATCTGCAAGAGCATCAGCATCGTTGTTCTTCCCAAAGAATTTCACTAGTTCCATGTTAGGGTCCATCAAGTATCTGCACAAGATTATGGAGATATTGTTAACAAACAGAAATTTAAAAACAAAGGTTGAAAACGCAGCCCCCCCCCCCTCTGATGTTGAAAATGTTATATGTAACATAAGCTCCATTATTCTTGTCATACTCGAACTACCAAAGAAGTAGAGAGTTTAAGAGATGGAAAGTTAATTTGAAAGTTTGAAGTTCACAGAAAGGGAGTTCAATTAACACCAAGCATGCCCATAAGAAATATTTACGTGATTATGGAGTGATCCACAAGGTAATCTGAATCTTCTTCAGATGTCTTCATATAATAGATCCTGTATGCACGAGCAGTTTTCTTTATCTCTTCTAGGCTGCCTGTTAACCCAATTAGTTTTGGATGGAACTCTGTAATGGGGGAAAAGATAAAAAAATCACTAATTAAATTGCAAGTGGAACATGGGAATAAATTAAAATTGTAATCCAAATGTGTATAGAAGCACCTTTGACATATTCGCGTACTTGCTCAACATTATCTCTCTCAGGATCCACAGTAATGAATACAGGCACGATATCAAACCCTGCCTTCTCCTCTGCAAGCATTGAGCAAATAGATCAAAACCACATCATGTAATAACAAAGGCTGGCAGAAATTGCATCTGTACAAATATGCGTGTAATATATTTATAAAAGGAGTCATGAGGCTGAAAAATCCAGCACTTGCTGGTATTGGTACTTGTTCCATGTACATTGATGTTTGACCAAATCCTGACACATAAATCTCACATGGTTGAAAAGAAACACTGGAGACAAGTTAATCTGTCCAGAATCACTATTACCAGTTTATTTTTGCAATGAGCTAGAATTCCCCCACCCCTCATCCTTACCCAAATTTTCATGATATCAAGAGAAGAATGTACAAGATATCTGTATTGAAACTATGCCGTAGCAGAATCAATTCCAGCAATTAGAGAACAGTTCATAAACTTTTGAAATATTATGATTTATGAGCAATAGACAGCACATAAAAAAGGATTTCAGTAAATACTCGAAATAATTAGTTGAATCAACAAAATCTCCAATACATCTCAGCTGTCACAATAACTTGTTCTAATACAGTACTCTGGCTTCATAGTCCTAGAATCAGATGACTAGAGCATTTTTCATCCAAGTAAATCAGTGTTTCTCTATTATAAAAACTTGTATCTGTGTTAGTAATTAACAAATTATAAACAGTATGTTCCTGTCAAATGAAAATATCAGCAACTCACTTATTTTATCAACTGCAGCAGCTAGCTTTTGCAGCTCGTCCGGACAAATATCAGGGCAATGAGTAAAACCAAAATATATCATTGTCCATTTCCCCATGAAGTCTTTCTCTGAAACAGGCTTTCCATCATGATCAATAAGATTAAATGGGCCTCCAATCTCTGGTTTTCCCACAGATGGTCCCACTTTCACAATTGCAGAAGTTTTATTTATAGCTGCACACACAAAATTATCAACACAAAAACACAAACCATACAATCCAATAATTAAAATGGTCAAATTCAATTACCCTTCAAAGCAAGTTACCAATCTATTCAAGAGAAACTTGAATGAAAATTTTGAATAATATTGACAGAAGCGGTTAACTTGTATTCTTCCTTTCCTCCATATCAACCTAATACTATACAAATCAAACATGAAGATCCTGTCTTGTGCAAACATAAGGTGCGTCCTACAACCCACAGAGTGAACCAGAGTGATAGAATAGCTAGCTTATAACAGGCCCCATGATTTAAAATTCAACCAGATATGGGGGAAAAAAAAGGAAAGATGACAAGCTGTTAATCCCTCAAATAATCATGCAAACACACCAACTTGTCTTGGACAGGGATTTAACACAGCAGTATCCATTTATCTCCTACTTAAAGCGCTAAACTATGGATGTGAACTCAGGGGAAAATTACTGTACTTTTTTACAAATAATTGTACATTATATTTCACTTGATACAATTTCCAAAGCAGAGTGGTGAAGCTACTACATGTACTTCTTACAATTGATTAAGTTAATTAATTTCCAAACTGATTAGTTATCATTTACTTAGGAAATTAACAAACATCAAACTCACCATAGAAATCATCTACCTTCAATACGTTGCTTCTTCATCCTGTCATAGTACCAAATTAATCCAGCTCCAGTAGCCGCCAGAAACAGAAAACTCAACCATGAAATAGGCTGCAAAAGATAATTAATTCCATAATAATAACAATAATCAGTCAAATTATATTATAAAAGTTGACGAAACAAAACCCTAATTTAAGATAGAAATGGAAAAAAAAAATACCCCACGCCGCACTGTTCTTCTAGCATTATTTTTATCATCTTGATGATTTGAATCCCCAGACTTTTCACTTCCATCAGATTTAGCCTCTTCAGTGTTTTTCGAAGTCTCTGAATCAACAACAGTAGTGGTAGTAGGAATTGAAGTGCTAAACAGAAATCTTTGAGTAATCTGTGGCAGCGACTGGATTTCTCCACCGAGAGGTAAAACCTAAAATAGAAAAGATAAATCATCAAATTCCTGAGTTAGTAAAACTGAAATTGAAAATTCACGAAAAGACTAAACGAACGAACCGATCGAGGAACAGGTGAAGGTGGATTTGAAGATGTGGTGGTGCAGTGAGAGATGTAGCGAGAAGTGAGACATCGGTAGGTGTGGCGCAGGTGGTTTGCTTTTCTTGATAGAGCAGTAGTTGCCATTGAAAATTGTTTGAGCTCCTCTTTGCTTCTTTCTTTCTTTCTTTCTGGTGCGGCGTCTTGGAGTTTATTTGTAAGTCCTGTACTAGTTTTTTTTAAATCGCAGCTTGAGCTAGAATTGTTTAACAACCCGTACCTACGGTTGTTAAAATCTCGAGTTCATTTATATAATCATATACGTATCCAAAATTTATTTAAAAATTTAAAAATAAATTAAATTAAATTAAAATTGTTTTAATGGGTTAAAATCATTAAACTCGTGATTACAATATTGGTTTTACATTTTCAAATATAATATTACCATTCAAATTATAGCCTAACAATCTTCTTATTTGATATAATTACATAGCTTATTTGAATTAATTCTTAAATTATTAAATTAATTCAAAATATTAAACACATGATATTTAAAAAAAAATAACAATATATTTGATATAAAATGATAATATGATATTGATTTTTTATTTTGATTTATTTTTATAATTAAAATTTACATTATATTTTCTATATCATGTTAAAAATATATTTTTAATAAGTTTTTTTATAGCCTATGCAGCGAGACAGAGTAAATATTTTTCTTAATATCACCAAAAAGTAATAAGTAGGCATTGTCAATGTATTTTCAACCAAATAAAAATCATTATGAACTCAAAATAGAGAATTATACATACCAATAAATATAAAAAAAATAATTATAAATACTAATTAAACCAAATATTATGGTGAGAAACACATATATGTCAAGACACTTAATTTAATGTTACTTGAGTAAATCTAAATTAATTTTTTATTAAAATAAAAATATTTTATTCATTTTTTCTTATTATTGACTGTGGGCAGGTTAATTAAGTAATCAAAAACTTCACTAGATCAAACAAAATTTATCAAGTTAATATTTTGTTTGATTTAACTAAAAACCCAACTTGAGTCAAGCTTCAAGTTCTAGTTCTTTTTCTAACTTAACCCATTAATCCTTATTTAATAACTATGACTTACCTTTAAAAATATAGTTTGTGTGGCCTTGCAGCAAGTTTTGTCATAAAAAAACCCATTTAAAAAAAAATGATATCCAAAACTTATAAGTTGTCCATACTTAGCAATATAATCTATGTGAAATATAAGTATCATTATAGTACTGAGAGGCTCAAAAGTTATCCACACTTTACTCACATTCACGTATAAAATCGATGGAGTCAATTATGATATTATCCCAAACTTGTTACATAACTAATTGTACAGCTATTGTTTCACTTTCAAACAGGAATAATAATAAGCACCCATGGCTTGGATTTATTAATATCTATATCGTATTCATGACTCATCAGATAATAAATTTAAATATTTATAAACTATTAATTTAAATTTCAGATATTTGTATAAATATTCATTATTTATTATTTAATAAAAACATTATATATATATATATATATATATATATATTTCAAGTTAGGTTCAGATGGGTTTCAATTTAGATTAGACAATATTCGTATCTTATATAATACTTATTAAATAGGATAATTATCCAAAAAAAAATATTTATTCAAGTTAGGTTAAATTAATATATATCAAGTTCAAATTAAATTGTCATCCTCCATTTTTTTTTTTAGATTAACGTGGGTATCCGAGCCAGCTTGCGCGCACCACGACTAATCCCACGGGCCCTGAAGTTAACGACCATGTAAACCTCCAGTGGCCATCATATGAGCAACCAAGGACTCGAACTTGAGACCACAGAAGGAGCAAATCCCTTGATCCCAAGTCCTTACCAATTTTAAAAATCATTTTTAATAAAAATAAAGGACACATCTTTTTCCTCACCGTTCATTTACCCTGTTTTTTAACCTATGCATTTTCGTTCGTAATAAGACTAGCCCAACAATACAACAAATTTAGTCATGTCCAACATACCAGATAGGGAGAACTAGAGCCTAGACAAGTGTTGTAGATCAGAACATTAACATTAATAAAAAAAAAACCTAAAAAGATGTCCATTTATTTATAAAATATTATTTATTTTAATAATTTTTTTTTAGTTTTTTTAATTATATATATTTTTAATTTCATTATTCATCATTTAATTCATTAATTAAAAATTAAATTTTATATAATTAACTTTGGTCTCATAATCCATGTCACGAATTTAATAAATTAACTCTATCAACTCGATTTTACAGATTAACCTGATTAATTCAATTTTTTTTATCTTTTTTAATTGGTATTATTTTCAATTTCATTATTTAATAATAAATTTAATAGAAAGTAGACTTCATAATTTGTGTCAATATACTTGCCATAAGATTATTCCACTCTAAGAATAATCACTTATTTTGGGAGTTAATTCAATTGCTTTACTAGTTAATTCAATTCAAGTAAACTTAAATTGTTTTATTATATTTTATTTTTAGATTGTTTTTTTTTAATTTTATCAATTAACAATAATTTTTTTAGAAATTACACCTTATAATTTTTTTATTTTAATTTGTTTTATACAATTAATTTAGATTATGATAGCAAGTCTGAATAATTAACCATATTAACTCAAATAATTTATCTGAAATTATTCTAGCTTAGAAATTATTCTATTTTCATCATTCAAATTACATGTTTATTTACCAAATTAACTCATTATTTTTTAAATAATTTTTATCTTTTTTAGCATCAAGATGGTCAAAAATTAAAATTTTATTTTGATTAAATGTATATAAAATTATCATTATCATATATTTAACCAGTAAATCACGCTAACCCAAATCAAAAGAATATGTTGGTATGTTAATAATTTTTTTAAAAATAATCTTAAATTTTTATAAATCAAACCATATTTTCACACAAATCATTCATGTTGCTTTTAAGTCAATACAAAGTTTTGAACAAAATTTCTACGTTAGCTCTGCGCAGATCAAGTATCTAGTCCTATACGATTTCATAGGCCATGCCGTCTCTAGTTTATCTGCAAACTTGAATAACACGTCCCCGATAACTTAAATTGAAAGATTAATTGTATCGACAAACTTGGTTAGCACGAGGAGGTTCTGTTCCGGTAGTCCACACCACTGTTATTATAGCCAGGCATTATTCCAGAGTCCACAGATGCAACCCCCCATAAATTTAATTACATATATCACCCAGGTATCACCGTCATCCTAATGCTATGTCGTCATAGATGCCAGGAACTAACATCCATGAAATGAAGAAAGAAAGAGTCTTGAAACAGCAACATACAGCTTAAAACCCACTTCCGCACTACTGCTGGTTCTTAAAAGACTGCACAGAACATAACATACACCGTCAGCAGCACTCCGTAGAAGATAACCCAGCTCTTCCGGTATTAAATTAGGTACATATCACATCACCTCGAAATTCTCGGAAAGGTCTTTCACCTGCTCGGCAAGTTCTTTCTTTTTCTTTGCCGCTGCATAACAAAACAACACTCATCATCAGATTAAAAGCCAGCAATGACTGAAATTGCAGGTCCAGATCACAAAATGTAACAGAAACACACCCGTCATTGAAATATCATCAATCCTCCTTGATGTTCTCACTGCAAACCTCTGGAATGCAGGACTGCAAGCAAAAAAAACCAAAATTAAAAAGGGTCGATAACATCAAGGTTAAAACCTCTACTCTGTTCAAAATCAAAGGTTGACAATTAGAAGGCTGGGATCATAAAGCAATAACTGACTCTTTCAAGCTAACAGGCACTACAGGAGCCAAAAAAGATATGAATTGGGAGTTGAGCAGCTACCACCTTGGCAAACAAACTAAATCCTATCATCATTATTCATCATGATGCCATGTTCATAAATTGTAGATAGATCAACAAGGCAAACTCATTTTTTGTTCCATCAACTCCACCAAATTGATGATTATAATAAAACAGAAAGTTATAATAATAGAACAACAGTCCCATAGCTCCATTCTTAGATATGAGTCGAGTTTTTATTTCTTTGTGGAGGAAAAGGAGTATTGAATAAAATAAATAAATGAATACTCAACTGCGAAAATTTCTCAAACCTCAAAATTTGCACTACACTCACTGCAGGCACAATAAATTAAGTTTTGAGGCTGTTTGGCTTCAGGGAGCAAACTGTTTAGGAATGGGAGGCAACCCCAACAGCCTATAAGAGAAGATTTAACACACAAGTCTCACATGTCATTAAAGCTCAACACAACCATTGACTCATAGCATATAACCAGAAACTCATTAAAACAGGCCATTTCCCATAAAGAGATCACTTAAGTGTTAGATAACTAAAATTTTCATGCAGACATTATTTACAACGCTGCAATTATAACCGCTACTGATGAAATCACTTCATTACTTCAAAAATTAATTTAATTCGAAAGGGAAACCTAGCAGGTTGCACTAACTGAAACAACTTCCAAAGTTGTTCCAACCAAAACACCTCATATTTCACTATAAAGGGCAAATGACATCTAAATGATTCAAAGCAAGAAATCAAAGCACTCATATCAACGAGCACACCAAAAAAAGCAGAGGAATCAAATTTTCTCCAACTTCAACAGCCAGCGCACAACAAATTGCACTGCCAACAAAATTATAAACGAAGATAAGAGCCACTTTTGCTTCAACTGAACGAACCATTGAGGAAACCATCCAACCTCAATGGTCAGAGAAAGAAGCTTATCTGGAAAAAAGTTATTCAAGAATTGAAATATAAACCAACGACAGAATAACACATCACCGGAGCAAAAAAAATGGAAGGCGGACAGGAAATTAATAGGATCAACAATACCTGTTAGCAAGACCATTTACGACAAGCTCATTCACAACATAGGATAAGACTCTGTGCATGAAATTCCCACCCGCCATGGCTTGTTTGCTTCTATTGAACTTTTTAAAAGCAAAAAAAAAATGCGATCAAACAGACACATCAGAATATGTTTGATATTAAGAAATGAAATTGATTAATCAACAAATCTTATTAGAATTTGTTTTCATTTCTATTGCAAAAAAAAAAAGACAAAAAAACGGAGCCCTTTGAAATGAATAGAAAGTATATCGTGAATAAACCCTAAGCTTATCAAATTCAGGTATCCATAAATTCTATAAAAAAATTAAGCACGTAAAAATAATAATTGAAATGATTATTAAACAAGATAATTAACGAATTGATTGCGATAAAGAAACTAGTTGAAAGATTTATTTTACCTGTAAGAGAATGCCGATTGGAAAGCTAGGCTTCTGGAATGTGCCCAAATTGTAGCTTTGAGACAGCTTCATCGGCTTTTATAGGTAGGCGAGTCTTTAGGGTTGGGCGGTTTTAAGACTAAACAGAGGCCCATGGACTTGGGACAAGGCCCATAGTATCGGGTCCATTACAAAAATGATTGCTTTGGTTTACACATAAGAGTTCCTAGTCACCATAGTTGTTAACATGCTTGTTAACCTGTAAAAAATATATGATTCAGAGCTTACCGATTTTAAGTTAAGTGGAAAAGGATGTTAATTTGATCGAATGGGTTAATTTGACTAAACTCATTCTAGATTGAGCCACATTAATTCCAATTTTTTTTATAAAAAAATTATATCATTTTAATAAAAATAAATAATTTAGATAAACTAATAATCTAATGATATCCATATTTTTCTAGATAAGTCTTATTACCGGATATGAATATATATAATTTAATATTTTTAAGAAAATATTAAATTATTTTGAATACTAGCTAATAAATTTTTCAGGAATATATATGATGCCATTTATAAATTTTATTAGTTAACATCTAAGATATTCATATTTCATATGAGGGAATTAAGGGAATTACACTATGAATATTGATTTTTTAAATCATTTTTTTACGTGATGCCATTTATTAATCTCATAGAACACGTTTGGAGTGCAAATTGTGTTTTTAAAAAATTTAATTTTTATAAAAAAAATAATTTTTTTTATATGTTTTGAAATATTTTAATGGGCTAATTTTTAAAAAATAAAAAAATTATTTTAATATATTCTAACACAAATTTTTTAAAAAAACAATTATAAACACAAAAAACCAGTATACAATATCCGAGATAAGTGCCTTTCACACGAGAGAGTTAAAAAGTGTCAGTGTATTACATGGAGGAGATGTAGCTCTACATCGCAGAGAAGTACAATGATCGTGCAAGACAACGTGCATCATCATCACATTAAACAAAATAAATAAAAGAAATTACATAATCACTGTAGAAATTCGCGTGGAGTGGCAAAGGCGTATAAACCAGGATGCTTGTGGAAAATTAATTACAATCGTTTTTTTAATTTTTTTGAATATTTTTATTTTTAAATAAATTTTTTATATATTTTAAATTATTTTGATGTATTGATATTAAAAATAAATTAATTTTTTTAAAAAAATCTATTATTTTAATATATTAGTAAACAAAAAAATATTTTCAAAAATCATTTATATATACTTGAAACATGCCCTTATAATTTTTTTTTTTAGATTAACGTGGGTGTCCGGGCCAGCTTGCGCGCACCACGACTAATCCTACAGGCCCTGAAGTTAACGACCATGTAAGCCTCCAGTGATCATCATATGAGCAACCAAAAACTTGAACCTGAGACCACAGAGGGAGCAAATATCTTGATCCCATGTCCTTATAATTTAATTATATAAGTAGTATATTGTTTTTTTTAATTAACGTAGGTGTCCGAGCTAGCTTGCATATACCACGACTAATCTCACGAGCCCTGAAATTAATGACCATGTAAGCCTCTAATAGTTATTATATAAATAACCAAGAATTCAAATCTAAAATCACAGGAAAAATAAATATTTTAATTTTAAATTCTTACCATTTGATTTGACGATTACATAGTAAGAACTTAAAATTAAAATATTTATTTTTTCTGTGAATTCAGGATCACCTGCATTACATGATTTATATTGTTCTTCTCTACAGTTGTGTACACTGAAGCAACACAGGAGGAATTGATGTAGAGCATTTCAATTAAGAAAAAGAAGAAGAAGCCAGAATTGAAGAAACAGATGTTGATGAGGTGGTTTCTGTAAATAAATAAATAAATAAGGGTAGATGAGGCTGACCGAGACTCAGACCAGATCTTACAAGGAAATTAAGAAAATTCACAGCAATTAATTAGAGAACCACGCGATACACACCATGGATGGAGATTGCATCTTTGGTGTTTGCCAGGAGTTCTTGATGCATGGAGTTATTTCAAAATTAGCATCGTGTCCAAATTCTTTGGCAACGCAAAAAAATTTAAGTAAAGCTCTGCTATATTATTTAAGATAAATAGAAGAACTTGCTACTAATTCTATATATGAAGAAAAATTCATCAAAAACAGACGTGGAAACCCATTGACGTCCAATCACATTCATCACCTCAAAATACAGGCAAAAAAAAAAAAGATGTGCCAGGAATCAAAAGATAAATAAATTTAAAGCAAAAGTAAATAAAATCAAACTACAGATGAAGCCATCATTGAAATCGATGATTATTAAAGCTAAGAGAAGGTATTTCCTTCATGTTAATGAAGGGATTGACAATCCTAGACCCACTAGGAGCATTATTAGCTTCAATCAAGCCAAGTCGAGTTATCACATTCTTCTTCAATTGTTCCATTGATTCTTTGTATGCTTCAAGCTCATCCTGCTCCATGTTATCAATGGGTAGATCCCACCAAAAGCCACCCTCATTCATGTTGTTCATGTTCCCAATCATCTTTGCAACCGTTTGCTCGTCTTCCAATCGCTTCAAGGATCTTGCATATTCTTGTTTATTAGCTAACTGCCTCTCTATATTGTTATTGGTGATCGGCGGGAAGTTGTTAGGGACCCTTTCTATTTCAGCAAGATAACGATCAAGAACCTTATCAACGTCTGGCTGGCCACAAGAGAAGAGCTTTCGATGTTCAGAGAAGACAATGACTGCTGTTTCAGCCCCGCACAAGGTAGAAAGTTCTGTTGCTTTCTTGAACAACCCGTTTTTACGTTTTGAAAACGTGACATAACGATTGCTTTCTTTCTCTACTTTCTTTATCTCAATCTTCTGACGACCTTTGCTTGTCCTGCGTGTCTCCTGCTGGTGCCGCTGGCGGTTCAAATCCGTTGCATCCATGGTGGATATGTAAAGATTAAGAAGCTTGAAAGGGAGAATAGGGTCTAGGGTTTTGAGATGTTGGGTGGTATATATATTTATAGATTTATGAGATCTTTCCACTCTTATTTTGGAAAGTGTTTAACCCCTTGAATAGGAAATTACACCTTTTGTTAAACATTGAAAGGAAAGGAAAGAGAATCTCTTTCTTGCATGTTTAGGAATTATTTTCATAATATATTATTTTTTCTATTGTCTCTTCCCTTCCCGTTATGCATGCATACCATTCTTAACCCAACCTTAATTATCTTTGAATTAGTATAAGAGACTTGAGAGTTTATTCTCCCTAACACTTGTTCTCGCTATACATGCCATTAAGATTTTACAGGTTCTTGTAAAATTATGATACCATATTGTAGGAGTTTGCTGTTTCTGTTGAAAATTTCTTCAGAGTTTTAACGTAAACTCAATTGGGAATTTTTTAAAATATGCCTCGTTACATTGGAAATCCTAGGGAGACAAAATCCTTATGAGGACTCAATTGAGATTTGAATTACACTTTGGGGGTCAATTTTAAATTTTCCCTTGTATTCTATCTTGGTCCGTGGTCTGGTGCATGGTGTTTATAGAGTTCACTAGTTTACTTGGCCGCGCATAATTGCCGCTTGAATTAAAAAAAAACAAATTGAATCTAAGATATGTTCAGAGGTTTTAACTTTGAAAAATTAAAATTTATGCCCTTGTAATCTATCTTGGTCAGTGGTCTGGTGCTTAGTGTTCATAGAGTTCACTAGTTTACATGGCCGCGCATAATTGCCGCTTGAATTAGAAAACCAAATTGAATCTAAGATATGTTTAGGTTTTAACTTTGAAAAATTAAAATTTATGAGGATTGTTTTGACATGATTTATTTAACTTTATGAGTCTAAATAAAATCGGATAACTTTTTAAAAAAATCAAAATAAATATTTTGATGCACTGAAAAAGACAATTTTATGACAATTATTAAATACATTGAAAGACAAAATAGTTAATAAACTGATTGAATTCACAATGTTTCTCCTCAAGCGTTACATGGAAAAAGCTCAACCCTTTTAGTTTTTTTTTTTTTTTGTGATGGACTTCCTCTGCTCTCTGTGATTGAAGTTATTTCTGATCGTCAGATGTTTGCAATTATTGGAGTTCCTGACTTGCTTGGTACTGCTGTTGATAATGTTCTCTGCTACAATGACCTGCTACTTCTCAAATTGTGACCTGCATGATGTAGTAGTGATGCTGGGATTTTTGTCATTTAGGTGCTCACAAAAGTCAGAAGGTTATTTTCTAACAGATTTATGTTTTTCATATAATTATATTAGATGAAGATCTAGAGTTATTGATGGGCAGTATTTTTCTTTCTTAATTCCTAAGGTACTGATTGCAAGAGAAAATCCAAGGATAAGATGAATGTTTGGCCTGTAATTTGCCTGAAAGATACATTGTCAATGAAAATTGATAGAGCTTTTTGACAGTGAAAAATAAAAAAGTCTATGTGTACAATTCATCACAGAAACACAAGAATTTCTTAGAGATTTCACTCTGTTTTCAGCTACAAATAAGCAAGGAATATCCGATTCCATGTATCAGGAACTCCCGGTAAACACCAGTGTATGCAATCTGCATGATGTAGCGGGTCTGCCCTTTGTTCTTCTGTCAGCAATTTGCCTCCAGTCTCAGTGTAGACCGATGCGTGAGCATCGATTCGGTACTCTGATAGCTGTGTTATGTTGATGAAAGTAACAGGAACTTTCATTTTCTTTCCTATGCTGGCCACCACACTCATCATTCGTTTGTCAGAACCAGTTCCCCAATATTTCTTCTTCAATACCGGTTTCGTTTCATTGAAGCACTTAAGCCCCTCTGGGTTGTTCCAGTCTTCACTTCTGTTGAAAAAAGAAAACAATATGATTTTCAAGCGGTTACAGGTAGCATCAACTGTGGTCAAGGGGGAATATCTAGTGCACAATGTGCAGTTTAAAAAATGAATGAAGACCAAGAAAAGGTACAAAAATGGATTGAATTTAAGAAAATCCTGTTAGAGAGACCTCGTGTGTGTAGGGGACATGGTAGTAAAGAAGACGCGAGTCTTGTTGGGGTTAATATTTGAGTCGATCCAGTTAGCCCATGTCTTCAAACCTATCTTGTAAGCAATTGGTGTGTCCAGCTCTACATACCCGTCTTCCCCATTTGCAAATGAACCCCATCTGCAATATTCATTTAACCATTGCTACTTCAACATTGGCAATGCTTACTTGTCAAAACATTATTCTGGAACTTGCATAATATTTTGATAGAAATTTATTGAAGGAGCTTACAATGTTTTGAGCCTCTGACCACTCATCCACCAAACATAGGTGTTGAACACAAGAAAGTCCACACCTCCCCAGTGTTTGGCGTGCTTGTCAATGGAATCCACTTTCAGTAACCTCTTCTTTGGATCTGCTATGATATGGTGATCGGTGTTGGATTCAATAAGAAATGGAGCCCAATAGAATTCAATGGTGGCATCATATTCCTGAAGCATTGATTAGAATCATTAGCTGAATTTGTAGAACTAACATGGTGCCTGAACACATTGAATTCATAGCCTAGGATCATATTAGATAGACCTTGTTGTTCTTGGAAAGAAATCTAAAATGTCCTGCTAATTTTTAGTACCTTGGCTCTGAAGACTGAATGAGAGCCGACCTCTTTCATGGATTTCTTGTCTTCAGGTATAATCCATTCCACCAGACAAACAAATGATTGCCACTGACCCCTTTGAAGCGAATCACCTACGAACAGCAACCTCTTCCCCCTAAGTTTCTTAAGAGCAAGCTCTGGATTAAATCTGCAAATGCAATCATCACATATAACATGTTAGATAACTAAACTGTATATCATCCTTCAATATGTTTACAGCATCAGGAATTCTTGCAAAATAGATAACTTGTTTACCTTGGCAAGGTACAGTCATCCGGCTGCCATTCCCACCGACGGTAATCAGAATCCCTTCGTCCATTTTTGACACAAGAAACCTGTCTATCTAGATATGGGCAGCTCCTGTCCGTGTACAAAGGCTTGAAACTCTTGTTAAACATCCACTTTCCTGTGTTGACAGTGCACTCTTCCGGATCGAACTCGAATCTATCATCCATTTGGAAGTTTTTAAGGTTATCCTCTGCAGTTCTGTCTTCTGTTGGAAATGACATTTACAAGGTAAGATCATAACGGTGTTTCTTATAAAATCTAAGGAGGACATGTTCATGAGTAAGACAAACCATCTCATACTTACTAGATTTCTTAACTGGATTTCTCCTAGGACAGGATTTGAGCTTGAAAAGAGACCTGGAAGTGTCCGTATACAAGAGAGCAATGAATGCAAAGCTGCAAATTATAATAGTGACAACGGAAATGGGCAGTTTCCCTTTCGAAGGTTTCATTGCAGCGGACTGAGAGGGCGCTAAGCTCATTGTTGGAGGCAGAGAACAGAAGCTTAACTGAAGCAACTGAATGATGAGGACACTTTTAGAGGCCTTGTTTTGGATTTTTTATGGCTGTTTGAGTAGGAGTAAAGCTAAAGCCATGTATAGTTAGGTTTTCACATTTTTCTACATTTATCTTTTTAGAGTATGAACGCAGGTTAGGGTGGCATAAGTTGGAGGGCTAACATCTTGGGCTCCCATTATTGTCTTCTCTATTTGTTAGAAGCTATATCATTTCTGAGCCATTGTGCTATTGCTATCATGCTATACTATTCATATCGTTCATTAGGTGCAAAAGGTTCCTTGTAGAGCAAGTGTAAAGCAAATAGGCAACCTCTCGCTTTCTTTACCCCCCTGCCTTTGGACTTCAGTTCATGTATCATTCAATATCAGAATTTTCATGACTTGCATCACAGAAGTTATTTATTCATAGAATATTTCCCCTTCAACATGAAAAATTTCATTTAATGGGTTTAAAAATAATTTGAATAACTAGTAAAATATAACATAGATTTAAAAAAATTAAGAAGGTAATTTTTTTATTCATATTGAAATGATGTCAAATTAGATTAACTTTGGCCCTTTATAACTTGGATCATGGATTTTAATGGGTATAATACTTTTTTTATTATTTTTATAAATTATTTTTATTTAATTTTAAGATAAAATTAAATGTTTACAAAATCAAACACTAACCTTAAAAAGAAAATTTTCAATTGAGATAATATAACCCTATAGCAAGAAAAAAAAACTATAAATTTCATTTCCTAGCAATCTAATATTAAAGAAGAGTAAAAAAATAATTATAAAAAATAATAGATCAATAACTAAAACACAAACATATTACAGTCATAAATCAGACAACCCAAGTCAATATCTTAAATTCACTAATAAAGTGTCATAAATTAGATAACTGAAGTCAATATCTTAAATTCACTAATAAAGTAATGGATGAGATTAATAACTTGTTTATTTTTAATCAACTTTCATGTATGGAGACAAGATTTCTATGATGAGACCACGACTATGTATTGTGAATTAATCAAATGATGATGACCGGTTTTAAATAGGAAATATTATCAATGTAAATTTATAAATCCATCATTTCCACACAATTAGATGGATTTGAGAGGAAGGATATCACATCAACGTGATGAAGTGGTAAGAATATGGTAATCTTAAATCAACATCATCTTCCTAGATTGAGTAATATGTAGGTGAGAATGGTGTCGATGGCTTGAAAAGTGGATTTAGCCTCATAGCATTCCACCATTTTATGACAAAAAGTACGAAGTTGCTTTCATAAATAAATAAATAAGCACTTCGATTTCTTATCTTATAATTTGTAATAATAATTATTTGTAAAAATATTTTTTATAAAAATATATCAAAATAAATTTTAATGTTAAAACATCAAAATAAAATATAAATTCAATCACGTCCCGCTAAACTACGAAACAAAACAATCCTTTGAGACGCTTTATCTTGGTAGGTAAATCTCATCCTTCTATTTGTTTA